CGGGCATGGTGGCACATGCCTGTAATCCCAGCTACTCGGGAGGCTGAGGCAGTAGGATCCCTTGAGCCCAGGAGTTTGAGGTTGCTGTGAGCTAGGCTCACGGCACGGCTCTCACTCTAGCCAGGGCAACAGAGTGAGACTCTGTCTCAAAAAAAAAAAAGAAATTTAACATGGAATATAATAATGTTATCTAATATTCGTATTTCTCTAGTTGTCTCTAAGATGCCTTATATAAATCCAGGGTTCTCTCAAGGTCTCACGTTGCATTTGGTTGTCATCTCTTTAGTCTCTTGAAATCTAGAACAGTTCCTGTCCTTTGTAGTCTTTTTCGACATTGACATTTTTAAAGAAACCGGGTCAGTTGTCTTGTAGAATATCCAACAGTCTGGATTCATGTGGTGGTTTTCTCATGATTATATTCAAATTAAACATTTTTTGGCAAGAATATAATATAGTTGAGTGTTTTGTACTTCTCATTGCATCGTATTGGTGAGGCACATGATGTAGGTTTGTTCCATTATTGATGGTACTAAATTTGATCACTTTGTTGAAATTGTGCCTGCTTTAGTAAAGGGACATTTTCCCAACAATTTTAAGGTTCATTGATGAACTCTGCTTGTATCAGTTATTAAACTGATGATTTCACATCTTCACATTTTTGACTGAATTAATCATGCCCTTCCTGTGAAGCAAAGGAATGTTTTCCCCCAGCTTCCTAGTGAAATGGGGTATGTTTCAGTAAATACTGGTTGAATTCATTCTGTATTGGTTGCCCAGTTGTCCAGTTTAAGGAACGGATAGGCATTTCTGGGAAGTTTCTTGGTAGTTACATCCACAGTTGTATACTGGAAACAACCTGGTTGAGCTTTGTTCTATTTTTGGTTAATGGTTATTTTTGCTTTCTGCTCTTAGTGTGGATGATTTGGCTCTGAGCATATATCCACCGATGTGCCACCTGACTGTGCGAATCAATGTAAGTACTGGCTTTGAGGGAATAGCTACAGACCTAACAGGTAGAATTTCACTAATCAATAGTATTTCCTCTAAGTTACAGGGTACATATTTATTTGTCACATTTGGATGCAAATGCAACAGTAATGTCACAGTTCCTGCACGTATTTGGGCTTGATGAATATTTGCTGAAGTTGAATTATAATAGCCTTAAGTTTTGGTAGTTCTCTCTTCCATAACTACTTGGGTAATCATTTAGAAAAGTCCAAAGACCTTAGAAAATGCTGCTTTGAGAAGAAAGTCTTAATTGCACGGTGTTTTAGGAAACTCTCAACCTGAAATTACAAATTTCTAATTTCTAGTGTAAGCAGAAGTAAGTATTCCAGAAACATACTCTGTTCTAATATAAGCACATTGTGTGATTCAACAATGCAGCATCAAGCTCTTTATAAAAATCTCATTTTATTATGTTCTTACAAGTGCTGTAACCTTTACTAGAGAGAGTTCTGTTGTTTTTATAAACTCAAGTTCTTATCTCTAATGTTATTGAAAAGAGCAGTAAAACAACCAAATGGCTTATATCTTACAATCAGATGTATCAATCTAATAATGTTTGATAAATTAGATAGTAGAAATTAGATTCATCAAATGTATCTTCATGGTGTACAAACGCGTTGAAGTAGAATAGGATCCTTTTTGGCATTAACATTTTTTTTTGACGTTAACTTTTTAAAAATCGACTTCCTAAAAAATAAGCATATTTAGCAATATGCCTTGTCGGCTATCTCAAACATAATATGTACTGTAGCAATTTTAAAATGTGTACTATATATGTGTCTCATTTTACGTTAGTGGCACCCGTATATCTCCATGTTATCTTGATGTTGGTGTTCTTA